TGATGGACTGATAACTGCTAATAAAGCCCACTGATGGACTGATAACATGAATATTAAATGTCAGCTCCCTCCAAAATAAGAGCTTTTTTAAAAACTCAGACTGAGGTCTTATTTTGAAAGCCAGAGTTTGTTGAAGCCGTTTCCTGGAGGGGGACCCTGAACAATTAGAAAAAGCAGATTTAAAAACACTTCATCTGTGCGCATTAAACCGACATCATGCAGTTCATCTTCTCACCAGCAGAGGACCACAAATCACCATCAATGAAGAGTTCAAGGAGATGTTAGTGACATCAGAGCTGTACGTATTGATCTGATCAATATGGAAGTTCATGTTTCTTTGATTGGATCAGCTTTTAACAGCAGCTGTTTTTATAGAATAACAGAAACATGAGAGATGCTGAATGTCTTTTTTTATAAGATTTATTTTATTTTCATTTCATTTTCATTTAAATTGGGAAACAGACAAAAAAAAAACAACTTACAACCATGGCACAGAGCAAACATCTACAACTAACCACGACATGGCAGGCCATTGTGACCACAGAAGCACTCCCAGGTGCACACTCTTGTATCCATGCCTTTCAAGGATAACCTCAGACATCCGAAAACCAAACACACAAAGTAATAATAATAATAATAATAATAATAACAATAACAACAACATAATGACATTGGTAATTACAGAAAGAATTAGGACAAGGAACCCCCCCCCCCAAAAAAAACAACAACAAACAAACCAAGAGCTCAAAAAAGTGAGCAAAATGAAAAACAGAACACGTCATGAATCATGACATGAATCCTTCCCACCATCCCTTTACCTCTGTATGGCTCTGAATATCTTTAATATTTGATATACTGAGTACTATTGGATGTCCACTTATTAAGCCATGATGGAAACATCCCATTAAGAAAGAGAAATGAAACATTTGGATTCATTTTAATGAGCTCAGACTTGTTGAAAATGCAGAGGAGCTGGTTGTGACCTGAGCTTCAGAGAAACACCACATACTGATATTCACTGTGAAGCTTTGAGTGGAAAAAGACAGAAAAACAACATGTGGATCCTGGAATAACGGGAGCTTCCATCTTTAAGGACTGAAGAGGAAGAAGTTTACAAGGAATCATTTAGAACAGTTTCAAACATCAACTGATTGAATCCATGAATCTGAAAACGTGTTTCTGGGTGAAAGAGACAGACATGTACAGACTGAACTATCTGTTCAACAGTCAAGAGTGTTTCTCTAACAGGAGACACTCTTTACACTTCACTCAGCACAGACTCACTGAGGAATCAGGAGGATCAGACCATATTGAAAACCCAGGATAAAGAGGTTCAGTGAATGTGGCGTTGAAGGTGTGGAGGTGGATCAGAGTGTCAGAGGAGACTCTGTAGAAGGACAGAGTGCCAGCAGGACAGTCCACATACACTGCTACTCTGTTAGAGACAGACGAAGAGATGGATTGTTTTTTACTATTGTGCCAGACAGAATGAGCACCACCATTGCAGCACCTCACACTCCAGGACTGATCATTCCATCCAAACATACAGTCATCACTGTCTCCTTTCCTTCTGATGCTTCTGTAACTCACTGATATATAAACCTTTCCTCTCCACTCGACCTCCCAGTAACAGCGACCAGTCAGACCATCTCTACACAGCAGCTGAGGATGAGCATCAAATCTATCTGGATGATCAGGATATGACTGAACCTCCGCGCGTGCCACCTTCCTGTTGTTGTCAGACAGTTGGAGGTTTGTGTGAACTGTGTTTGTGTCGATTGTGAGTTGACAGGAATCTGATGAGAGAACAAACAGAATCCAGCTGCAGTTATTGATCCATCATCTGTTCATTGATCGACACTTTGATGATGACTCCTGACATCAGAAATGTGAATGAGTGATGTGACATGATGAAGATGGTTGAATGTGTGCTGCTCTGTTTTCATGAATCCCATTAAAAACACACTTACACTTCCTCAGACCTGGTGTCAGCCATCGTTCTCCAGAAGGCTCCACCCTGAAAGGAGGAGGGGGGTCAGACAAGCACAGCCTCTTTAGCATGCACACATGGACATTACATGGCTCTCATACACATACTGTTAGACACTGATAAAGGAACAGTCCAACATTTTCACAAATACACTTCAATCCATATGTGGATCAAACTGCTGATGATTTGCACTGATCCTGGATCTGTTGGTGCACCAGTGTGATGAATGAACTGTGACTGATTCAAACTGTCACATTCATTATTTATACATTCCTCTTCTGTTTAGCTGGAATTGACACCTCCCTGCCTGCTTTTTTTCTCCTATTGGTGTCAGTGTGGTTACTGTACATGACCTCTGACCTCTGAATGAGTGGAGCATTGTTTTCATGTGCGTTAATGCCACCTGAAACCTGTTTATGTTTTGATTTAACAGCAGATTTCTCCACATGCACACAGAGAAATTTCTGCCTCTGTCACATAAACAGTGGACCATATATTTGTTTTTGAATATTTCATGTTGAAACTATTAAGGGACCAGTGTATTTCCTCAGCAAAGACTCTGTATACTTTATATATTTTATTATTATTTTTTTACTATTTAATTTGTAAAAATGTACACACACACACACACACACACACACACACACGAAAATATTTAGTATACACATCCAGAAATGCATACACTATTATATATTGTACATATATTTATTAGTTTCAGATGTAGCCATTCTTGTATTTGCTGGTTTGTGTTGTTGT